TATTTCCCCCTTCGCGGCGCTGGAGGGAAACGGCGCAATGGAACATGTGGGAGCCATAAACGTCCAGCCCTGAGTCGTGGGGCAGCGCCTCCCCACGGCATCGCCCCCCACCCGGACACCCCGGAGCAGGAGGTGGGGCGGCGGGTGACGTGTGTCCTCGGGTCACCCTGAGCCGTCCCCACCGCACGGCTCCATCCTAAAGGACTCCTTGGGGTTGGGGTGAGAGGATGCTCAGCACCGGGGAGCGGAGGGGGGGTCGTTAAAGCATTAAAGGTGCTACTCTGCAATGCGTAGAGCCGCCCTGTCGTCCGCCCCATCAGCCGCGGCCGTGCTTCCCTGCACCGGGAGTGGAGGTCTGGGGGGGGATGAGGGTCTGCACCCCACATCTGGGGCGCTCACGCAGCCCTGCCCCATCCTCAGCCCCGGAAGCTGAAACCTGAAGCTGTTTTTGCTGCTGGTTCCCACTCCGCAGCAGCTATTTTATCAGCTGTTCCCGCTGCTGTTCTGCAGCTTCTGCAGGGCTGTGGTGCAGCACGAGGACCCACGGTGCTCACCGAGAACCCCTGCGACCTTTGCTATGTGTCACATCCCCTCCGCACAGCTGGAGGAGATAGCAGGGGAAACTGAGGCACGTGGGCCCAGGAGCACAAGGGTGGACGGCTGTGCAATGCACGCAGGTACGAGCGCACACACGTGGCTTCACACTGCACCCAGGGGTGCTTTGGGTGCAGATTGCTGCTGCTCAGACCGACCACCGCCCCCCCACATCAGCACCGGCGGAGGGCAGGACGGGGGGCACGGAGGAAGGCAAAAAGCAGCCCCAGCATCCTTTGGTGACGGTGAGGAACGGGCTGATTCTGCCCCACAGACCCTCAGTGCTCTGGGAAGGCCCAGGGAAAGGCGTGGAGCAACACAGCTGGAGCGCTGCAGAGACCCCATAACGTCCCACAGCAGCACGGGGGGGTGGGGGGACGCAGCAGTGCTCTGCCACCCCCCGCCCCACAGACTGCAGGCAGAGCTGCTCCTGGATCTGTGTTTCTGGAGGAGAAGCTCCATCCATCCACTTCCTCCTCCCTTCCCCCTGCTGCCCCACACCGAACCCACAATGCGGTCACTTCCACCTCTCCTTGCTCCACATGTGTGCCATTGCCCCACGCCTGCTGCTGCCCCACATCCCAGCTCAGGACCGCCTGCTTCCCCTCCCCCCCGCAGTTCATGCAGGGCCCAACGTTGGGCGCTTCAGCACAGGGGGCACAATTCCATGGAAAAACATTTCCTGAGCATCCCTGAGCATGGGGGTAGCAGCGTCCTTAAGCCCTGACCCCCAACTGGGGCTGACGGGAGCCACAACCCCAACCCGGAACTCCTTGGGGGTGGGGGGGCAAAAGGGAGGCAGCAGTGGGGGCACAGCAGGCGTCGGGGCCTTTGCCAGAGGCTGCTCAGAGTGATGGGGGGCTCGGGGCTGCCCCCATTCAATGCGCCCCCAGAAGGGCTGGTCGACCCCCAGCTCCCTGATGTGGGTGGGGAAGCAGCTCTGCCCTTCCGCAGACTGGGGAGGGGGAGGGGGGTCCCGGCACAGAGGTTTCTATGGTCCTGCCGTGTTCTGCATTGGAGGGGGGAGCAGCGCAGCCCCCCGGGGAACCCCTCTGTGCCATCACCGACCCCCCGGCCCGGGCGATGCTCGGAGCTGTGGAGCTCGAGGCGCGGTACCGTGTGCTGCTGAAGTGGCCCAAAGTGACCCAAAGTGACCCAAAGGAGTCCAAAAGAGTGAAGGGTGGGGAGGGGGGGGGTCGGGACCCCGCAGCAGCCCCGCGTACAGCTCGAGGAGCCCCGGGACCGGGCACTGCGTCACCGTGGGGCCGAGGCAGCGCCTGCCCCTCTCCGGTACCGGGGATGCGAAACGGCCCGGAGCCGGACCGCCCCGACCGCCCCATCCCTGCCCCAGCCCCGTGGGGGGGCACGGCGCTGCCCACCCCCCCGAAACCGCGAGGGCGTGGGAGCCCCGTACGGCCCGAGCCCCGCTCGCAGCGCCCGCATCCCCACCTCCGGCCGGTGCTCCGCGCTCCGCTCCTCCCGGCGGCGGCGGTTCGGTCCCGGTGCGTCGCTGTGCGGTTCGGTTCGGTCCCGGTGCGGTTCGGTCCCCGGCGGGGCGGATCCCGGAGCTCAGGGTTAGACGGGACGGACGGCCCCTCTCCCCCCGAACCCCACCGGGCCCGGAATCGCGGTCCGCCCACACCGAACGCTGCGGGACCCCGCGGGGGCGGCGCGTCCCGGGGCAGAAAAGCGGCGGAGCTGCGGGATTCAACTTCGGGCGGCGGCGGCGGAGCGGAGCGGCGTTCGGGACCCCAACCGGGAGCGCCGCGGTCACTCCGAAAACCCGGGGTGGATCCGGCACGCGCGGCCCTGCACACGCGCGGGGCCATCCCACGTGTGTGAGCGTGAGCGTGTGTGAATGCGAGCGTGAGTGTGAGTGTGAGTGTGAGCGTGAGTGTGAGTGTGAGTGTGAGTGTGAGTGTGTGCAGGGCCCGTGCAGCCGTGCACCGTTCCAGGTGTGCAAAGGATCCGGGCACGCTCACAGCGATGGCATCTGTGCAAAGGTGCACGCGGGGCGCACAAAGCACCGTGTGCCCGGGACCCCCGCACACGTGCACACGCGCGGCTTTGCACACATGCACGCACACGCACACGCGTGCACAGCGTGCCGGGTGCCGGCCCTGACCCCAAACCCTGGAAGGGATGAGAAGCTTCCCCCCCCCCCCCCGCTTTGCCCACACTGGCTGCGGCTGGGGCTCCGGGCCTGCAGCCCCCTCCCTCTACACGGAGCACGGAGGTCCCGCAGCCCCCGTGCCCCCCCCCCGGTGGGGGCTGTCATGGCCCCGTGTGCCCCGCACCCCCCCGTGTCACCGCGCACATGATGGAGGGGGTGGCTGCAGCGGCGGCAGCGCAGCGATGGGGGCTCGGGGGGGGAGCAGAGGTGGGGGTCGCCGGGTTGGGGAGGCGATTTCCCCACCTGGGGGGGCGCTTTCCCTTTGGGGCCGCGTCCCTTTGCTGTTTGTTTGCACTGCAGGTTGGTCCCCGCGCTGTCACGGCGGTGTCACAACGCCGTCCCGATGCGCAGCTATTTCGGGGAAGGCGCCCTTTGCCCCCCGCTCCCAGGCAGAACGTGACAGCGCGTGGCAGTGCCAGCAGGGCACAACGGGGGGGGGGGGACAGACAGCACGACTCCCCCCAGCCCCATTCCTCTTCCCCACAGCCCACCCTGAGCCCCACGCGCCCTTCTGGGGGGGTTGGCTGAGTCCAAAGCCTCTCACGGCCCCCCCGGTGGCACCCAGCACGGCGCCGCGCCGATGCCCCCTCGCACCCCGTGGCTCCCCGTCCCCACTGCGCTCTCGAAGGTGCCGGAGCTCCGCGCTGCTGCTGACCCCGCGGCCTCTGAGCGGGATTACCCTCCGCATTAGGGATCCTTGTCCTCCCCGTGTCCCCGTGTGTCGGCACGCACCGCTCTCCCCGCGCCGTATGGCTCCCCTGCAGGACGCGCTGGCCATAACAGGGAGCTGCGCGCCTCGCTTTCCCTCTCCACTGCCGTCACCCGGGACCCGCCTGGATGTCGGGGAGTCCCAGAGCCGCCCCCCAACAACCACACGGACGGTGCCCGCTGGGTGCGGGGGGTGGAGATCCCTCCTGCACCAAGGGAGGGCCGCCGGAGGGTCCCTGTGGGCCGCGGCCGATTGCCGCCCTCAGATCAGCCCCAGTGCAGCGCCAAGGTGCTGGGTGCAGTGAGAGTGGCCCCCCCGTGCCGTTTCGTAATGCGCTTCAGGGGCTGAGCAGCTCTGCTCCTGAGCTGAGTGACCCCGGTTAAGCCAGCAGGAAAACCCCCCCAGCCCTGCGCACGGCGTGGGGCAGCGCTGCGCACCCCCTCCTCACCCTAAACCCCCCCGTCGCCCCTTCCCTTGGGGTGACGCGCGCCCACCAGAGCCAGGGCAGCCCGTATGCAGGGATGCGCGCACAGACCCCTCCCCGCCCCCCAGCCCCAGATAATCTCGCCCTCCCGTTTAGGAAAGTCAAAGCGGCTCAGAGCGGGGTGGGATGATCCACGAGGATTAGGGGCTGAGAGGTACCCCCAGCCCCGCGCTCACTGTGGGTCAGCATGTCAGTGTGTCAGTGAGTCAGCACCGGCTGTGCAGCATCCGCAGGGGAAGGAAAAGCAGAGCCGGGCGGATGCTGGGATGCCGCAGGGTGGGAGCGAGGAGGCTGCGGATCCACGCGTGCCCGGCCCAAAGCCCAAAGCGTCCGCATCCCTGTCAGCAGCTGCGCGGGGCGCCGCCCCGGTCTGCAGTGCGGGGTGGGAGCAGGGAGCGCGCGGATCGCTGCCTTCTGGCCCCAACCCCGCACCTGCATCTCAGCACCTGCGTGGCGTTGCTTCATCGGCAGCGTGCACGTGTGCCCCAAAGGCCGAAGCATCGGAGAAGGGGGGAGGGAGGGGGTCAGCTCTGCCCCTTATAGGGTCATTTTGGGGAGCGTGCGCCGTGGCCGTGCTGCCCCACAGCCCTTGGGGGGCTGCCCGCAACGCGTGGCTGATGAAAGCTGCCCTTTGTCCGCCCCAGCGCGGGGCCAAGTGGGTTTGTTCCCAGATAAAACGGCCCCACGGTGAGCTTTGAGCAGCGCTTGCACAACGAGGACCCAGGGTGGCCCGGTGGCATCGTGCAGGGATGAGAGGAGGGCATCGCCTCCCACCCCAGGATCTCCCCAGCCTCACGCTGCCTGCGATGCTCCCCACCCCTTTGGGCGTCACTGGACCGCGGTGGGGGGCTGTGGGGAGGAGGGGGGTCCCGGGGTGATGAATGGGGAGCTGCGGGACTGGGGAGGTCAATGAGGGGCGGTGTGGAGGGGGGCTCTGCTATTTGTGGCGGAGTCCCGAGGTTTGGGGGATGGATTTGGGGTCGTCCTCCCCTCCTCGTGCGGGTGGTGTCAGGAGAAAGCAGAGAGACAGAACCCGGGCGTCGCATCTCCACCCGTTTATTGGGGAAAACTGCACCGAAGTGGGAAAATAAATTAAAAGCACGGAGCGCGTGGATGCATTGCACACATGAGCACCAGAAAGCGAAGGCAGAGTGGGTTCTGTGGTGGAGATGTGGGGGGCAGGGGGGAGAACAGAGCCCCGGGGGGGTCCCTATGGCTGCAGAAACCTCTGTGGGCAAGTGGGGATGGCTGCAAAACCGGAGGTGCAAAGCTTTGTGTCTTTTATCTCCATCTTTAGTGCGGCCTCAAAGGCAAAGTGTGAGCAGGAGCTCCGCTGGGAGGAGCTGGGCTGGGAGGGAGCTGAGTGGGGGGGGTTCACACATACAGACAGACACACAGACACACACGGGGGGTTTGCACACGTGGGGAATGGGGCTGGGAGGGGACAGAAACCCCACACGCAGCTCTGCATCCTCCTGGGGCTGAGGGCAGCGTCTCACCACTGCGCTTTTAGGGTTCCTGGCAGCATCTCCCCGTTCACCCTCAGCTTTTAGGGCCGTGAGTGCATCGCTCCCCGACCCCAACCCCAGCCCGCATTTGCAGCAGTGGGGCAGAGGCGCAACAAAAGCCTTTCAGCCCCACTCCGGCGGAACGGAGCCGCTCCCTCCCCGCTCCCTCCATCGCACCGCAGTCCGGGGGGGGGGGTTGGGGGTCTCCCCGTGGCAGTCCTGGATGTGGGGGGGCCCCAGAGCTGCCTCCATCAGCTGCACCCGCACGCGTCCACGATCATATCGGGGATGTCGGTTTTGACGATGTTGCTGTTGCGATCGAAGTAGAGGAGCGACAGGGGGCGGCGACGCGTGGGGACGCAGCACGAATGGGCGGCCGTGCGCACGTTGTTGGCTTTCACCAGGCTGAGCACGGCGCTGTGGAAGGACGAAGCCATACCGGGGCTGCCCGCAACGTGCAGCGGGCACTGCCCCACGCAGTAATTGAGCTGGTAACCCTCGGGGCTGATGATCCAGTCGTTCCAACCGATGGATCTGAAGTCCACGTAGTGATCCCTGCGGCAGCACAGAGAGGAATCGCGGCTGCACCTCAGGCTGCGTTTGACCACGCGGTGCTCCGGGTCCCTCAGCGACGCCGAGGCCACCAAGAAGGGCTGACGGGGCCGAGTGGCGTTGGAGGCGGTGACGAAACCTCCGCCGTCCCCGGAGCTCTGCAGGTACAGCCGGAGGGTTCCGCGCTCCGCCCCGAAGGAGCCGCGCAAGGCGGGGAGGATGGAGAAGGTCCTCCAGCCGCTGCCCCGAGCGCTCAGCCGCCGTGCGCTCAGCAGTACGCGGCGCTCCCCCCCGGTGTCACCGCGCCCCTCCAGCAGGGAGATGCTGAGGGTGACGTTGGTCACCGCGCCGCGAGGAACGCGCACGTAAAGCCACAGCTGGACCTGAACAACGCGCACGTCCTGATCCGGAGGGGGGGAGAGGTGGAAGCGCAGCACCGTGCCGGGGGAGGACGTGGGCTCTGCGGGGAGAGAGGGGAGGGGGTGAGCGGTGCACCCGCAGCGCCCTTAGGGCTGAGATCCCACCTGCAACCTCCCCCCCCCCCCCCCCCCGTCCTTCGGTCCGTCCCGCCCCTCCCCGAGGATGCTGCACTTTGCGCGCGTGTCCACGTGTTGCTTTAGAAGGGACCCGTCCCGCTCTGCCCAATGGAACGGGCACAAGGGGGACAGCGGGGACCGGGGGGCGCCCTGACCCTGATCCTAACGCTGTCCCTGCCCCCGGCCAGCCCTGCAGCCCTGCTTTGGGGCACCGTTCCCGTCCCTGCAGCCCTTCACCCCCTTACAGCCCCCATCCCCTTACAGCCCCCCACATCCCTTCAGCTCCAATCCCTCTGGCCCTCAACCATCTCTGTCCCCCCCCCGGCCACCATAAATCCAAGCCGAGGATTTTGTGCACATGAGAGTCCCTTCAGTCCCCTCCCCACTGCTGCTCTGTCCTCATCCATCGGGGGGGGGGGACACAGACAGACATCACAGTGCCACAGCACAGGGACCCCCGAGGGAGGGAGAGGGGGAGAGGGGGAAGACGGGGTCCGTCTGTATCATTGAGCCCCTCCCAGCAGCGCCGGGGGTCACGGACCGACGGTTCCATTCCAGTCCGGGCTGAGCCCCTCCTGGACACCCCCACCCCACCGCGAGGATCTCGGGGGGAAAGGAGGGGGGAGAGCAGCGCTGCGGTGCTCGGGGCTGCGCCTCCGGGGCCAATAATGGGGTCCCACACCCACAATGGGGTCCCGCACCCACAATGGGGTCCCGCACCCACCTTCCTCCGCGAAGCTGATGATCTCAAAGCGCCTCTCATCCTCGGGGGGGTCACCACGTCGGGGCCCTTCCGCCTGCAGCCTCCGCAGCGCCCGAGCCACGGCAACGCGCGGCACCGCGTGGGCGATCCGCGGCCTTTCGCGGAGCCTCAGCCCGTCCAGCAGCTGCCGTTTGGCCGCCTCCTCCAACAGCCGCCGTTCCGTTTCGGCCCCGCACGACGGGCACCGTTCTGTCGCCCCGCACAGCACCGCAGCGGCGAGCAGCCACGGGAGCGCGCAGCGCGTCGCCATCGAACCGACGGCACGGACCGGAACGGAACGGGATCGCCGCGCCGCAGCCACCCGCTTTGGGCACCTGCGAACGGGGGCGGACCCGCAGCCCCCCCGCCATTGGACGGAGCACCGCCCGTCCCGTCGGGCACGGCCGGGGCGGGGGATTACCGGGATTAAACGCCCCCCCCCGCGGTGAGGTTGGGAGGAGGCTCCGGGCAAGGGGCTCCGGGAGGGTTCACACGGCCCCCACCCCCCCCCGCCGCCCCCATCCCGGGCTCCTCTGCTGTGTTCCTGCCGAGGGGGGGCAACGGCGCGCACGGGGGTGCACACGTGTGCGCGCTCACGGGGTGTCCGTGGAGCGCTGCGCACGTGGGGTTTGCATGCACGCGCACGCGCTGCGCGCTCCCAGCGCAGCATCTGCCTGGGGATGGAGATGGGGGGGGAGGGGGTCCGCGCAGCCCCCAGTGGGGCAGTATAGAGCTTATGGGACTGCCCCCAGCACAGGCATTGCCCCCATGCACACCGCAGGGCTGTCGTGCAGGACACACACAGCCCCCTACCCCTATCCCTACCCCTATCCCTATCCCTATCCCTATCCCTACCCCTATCCCTATCCCTATCCGTATCCCTATCCCTACCCCTACCCCTACCCCTACCCCTTTCCCTATCCCTTTCCCTATCCCTATCCCTATCCCTATCCGTATCCGTATCCGTATCCCTATCCCTATCCCTATCCCTATCCCTATCCCTATCCCTATCCCTATCCCTTTCCCTATCCCTATCCCTACCCCTATTCCTATCCCTACCCCTATCCCTATCCCTATCCCTATCCCTATCCCTATCCCTATCCCTATCCCTACCCCTACCCCTATCCCTACCCCTATCCCTACCCCTATCCCTATCCCTATCCCTACCCCTATCCCTATCCCTACCCCTATCCCTACCCCTATCCCTATCCCTACCCCTACCCCTATCCCTATCCCTATCCCTATCCCTATCCCTACCCCCACCCCTATCCCTATCCCTACCCCTACCCCTATCCCTATCCCTATCCCTATCCCTATCCCTATCCCTACCCCTATCCCTATCCCTACCCCTATCCCTATCCCTATCCCTACCCCCATCTCCATCCCCATCCCTCACCCTGCTCTCATCCCCAATCTTCTTTCGCACCATGAGATGCATTTGGGTTCTGGCATCACCCCGGCCCTGCAGGCAGAAAGGTGCCCTCCCCACATTTTTCCCCTTCCCCCAAGTTGATGAGGCGCTCATTTATGGGATTATAGATGCTGGTAAATCCTCTGCACCGAGGGCTCATTTGGAGTCACAGCACAACGCAGAGCTCTGCTGAGCTCTCAGACTGAGTGGGAACGGCCCCGAGTGGGGCACAGGTGTGTGCACTGCATGGGCGGCAGGGAGGGAGAGATGGGGTGGGGGAGATGGAGTGGGGTGGGGGGAGATGGAGGGGGTTAAGAGGGAGAGGGGGGAGATGGAGGGATGAGAGATTGAGAAGGGTGAGATGGTGTGGAGTGGGGTGAGATGGAGGGGGGTGGGATGGAGGGGGGTGGGATAGAATGGGGGGAGATGGAGGGGGTGGGATGGAATGGGGGGAGATGGAATGGAGGGAGATGGAGGGGGTGGGATGGAATGGGGTGGGAGGGAGAGGGGTGAGATGGAGGGGGGTGGGATGGAATGAGGTGGGAGGGAGGAGGTGGGGGTGTGGGATGGAATGGAGGGAGATGGAGTGGGATGAGATGGAGGGGTGAGTTGGAGGGAGTGGGAGGGAGGGGGGTGAGACGGAGGAGGATGAGGTGGAGGGGGCTGAGGTGGAACGGGGTGAGATGGAGGAGAATGAGATGGAGGGGGGTGGGATGGAACGGGGTGAGATGGAGGGGGATGAGGTGGAGGGGGTGAGATGGAGCGGAGTGAGAGGGAACGGGGCGAGATGGAAGGGGATGAGATGGAGGGGATGAGAGGGATGAGGTGGGGGGGGGTGAGGAGGAAGGCGGCGAGGTGAGCGGCTGCGACGCCGCGAGGGCCGCGCTGCTGTGCCGCGGCAGGGAACCCACGGAGCGCGGTGGGAAGCGCAGCCCCGGGCCGCGTCCCGCAGCGCCGTTCCGCGCGGCTCTGACCCCGGGTCTCCGGCACCGAGCGGAGCCAAGCGTGGAGGTGACGTGTAAACAGAGTCTGGGAAAAAGCCCCACGGCAGGTGATGCAACCGCCGTGTAAGGGGGCGAAGTCCCGCAGCTCCGGGGCTGCTGGCAGAGCCCAGAATAGCGCCGAGTGTCAATAGGGAAAGTAGCGAGCGCGGAGCAAAGGTCCCCGCGCCCCGGGGGCTGCGGTGCCGGGCTGCCACTGCCGCGCTGCTGTCAGCGGTGCACGCACACACACCTGCACACATGACACATGCACACACGTGCACACCTGCACACCTGCACACACACAAACATGCACACAAACATGCACACACATGCACACACGTGCACACCTGCACACACACACATACATACACACACCTGCACACACACATACATACAGACACATGCACACACGTGCACACAAATGCACACCTGCACACCTGCACACACACAAACATGCACACACACAAACATGCACACACATGCACACAAATGCATACCTGCACACACACAAACATGCACACAAATGCATACCTGCACACACACAAACATGCACACACATGCACACACGTGCACACACACACATGCACACATGCACACACATGCACACACACACATGCACACACACATGACACACACATGCTCACACATGCACACACACATGCACACACACACATGCACACACACATGACACACACATGCTCACACATGCACACACACATGCACATACACATGCACACACACACATGCACACACGCATGACACACACATGCACACACACATGACACACACATGCACACACACACACATGCACACACATGACACACACATGCACACACACACACATGCACACACACACGACACACACATGCACACACATGCACACACACACACATGACACACACATGACACACACATGCACACACATGCACACACACACACATGCACACACACATGCACACACACACACATGCACACACATGACACACACACATGACACACACATGCACACACACACACATGCACACACATGACACACACACACACACACACACACATGCACACACATCACACACATCACACACACACACACATGCATACACATCATACACACATCACACACACACACACACATGCACACACATGACACACACACACACACACACACATGCATACACATGGCACACACATGCATACACATCACACACACACACACGTGTGCACACAGCCGTGGCCGCAGGGCTGCGCTCGCTGATCCCGGCGCTCTGCTGCCGTCGCCCGGCCCCACGGTTCCCAGCTGGCGGCTCACGGCTGCACCCCCCGCAGGCCCCGTGCGCCCGGTTTGGGGGCAGCCCCTCGGGCTCACGGCTTTTCCCTCCCCCCCGAAGGCCCGGCGTGTTTCTGGCTGTTGGGCTCCCACCGCTCCCCCTCCACGCGCGCAGCACTTTGGGGGCAGGTGGGGATGGAAGGCGCTGCGTCCCCACGGCAAAAGGAAAAGGGAAACCGAGGCACGAGGTCCTCCTCCATTCCCCTCCCCTGACGGATCCGGAGGTGAGGGATTCAGAGGGACGAACCCGTCGGGCGAAGAGGACGGGTTGCTTTCTGACCCCGTTCCCACGCAGGGACGGGGGGGGGGACGGGGGTCCCCAGAGGGCTCAGCATCCATCCTGCCCCCCCCATACATTTATCCACCCCCCCCCCCCCCCGCAGCACCGCACCCCACGGATGTGGGCCAGGGGTCAGCGCGGCGCTGCGGGCGCTTCGTGCAGCCGTTGCGTAACGGCGTTGTTGATTAAACGGTTCCCAGAAAGCAAAGCCCGGGTCCGACCTGACCAAAATACCCCCCCCCCGCTTTGTTCCCCCCCCCCCCCCGGCACTCGCTGCACACATGGCTGCGGGACCTCCGACCTCGTGGCTGTGGGGGGGTTGGGGGAGGGGGGCACCTGACAGCGCGGCTCGGAGATGCGCACCCGCAGCTTTGCCGTAGGGTCACCTCAACTCTGCCCCCAACGACCCCACGGCCGAGGGAGCGCTGAGCAGCCCGGGTCGGGTAGAGGGGGGGCTGAGGGGGGGAGGGTTTGGGGGGGGGGTCTCCCTGCAGCCCCAATTTGGGCATTGCGGTAAATATCGATGCAAAGCTCAAAGGCGCAGCGGGGGCTGCGATGCGCTGCGGGGCGGTGGGATGGAACCGAATCCCCCCCCCCCCTCCTCCGCCCGACCCCGGCCGCTCTCCGCAGTCCTCGGGCGCCTCCAGGCGGTACCGGAGTGTCGGGACGGAGCTCCGCGGGTCCTGGAGAGCTTCGTGCCCCCCAAGACCCCCCCCCCCACCTCCATCACAGCGAACCGGGCGCTGCGCTTTGAGGCCGCCAACGAAAGGCGAACGAAGCGGCTTTCCGCTTTTCCGAAGCGGCTTTCAGGAATTCCCACCCCCCCCTCCGGGGCCGCCAAGGGGCGCCGCCGCCGCTGTTGATTTTGGCAAAGCCTCCTCCGAGAAGGGGGGGGAGGGGGGGTGACAGAGCATCCCGACCCCGGAATGAGGAGCGAGGGGCACCTCGGGGCTGCAGCCCCTCCAGGACAACGGCAGTTTGCAATGGGCCCCTATGGACACCTCCAGGACCCCCCGACGGCCCCACGTGAGGACGACGCGGGGCTCTGAATGAATACGGAGGGTGAAAGGGGGGCGGGGGGGGGGGGGGGGGGGGGAAGAAGACAAAAAAAGCAGGAGAAAAAAAAAAAAAGAGCCCGATGGCTTCCAGGCTTTGCGCAAAGCGGCCTTGGGAGCCAGACGGGATCGATGGCCGCCTCCCGCCCCACCCGGGCTGCTGGAACCCGCGGGGCTGCGGCGTGGAGATGCGTGGGAGCCTCACGGTGGGCAGCGCGGGTGGGGGCTGCCCCACGGCTGCTCCACTGCTGCCCCA